CTCATCATGGATGCTTCCAGCAGGATCGCTTGCTAAAGGCGTCTGTTTGGTGCCCCGATCCGCAATAGGTTCAGTCTCCCCTGGTCCCGAATCCCCAGGGTAGAGGAGCAGGTACGGGACGCCCGGTGGGTGGGTGGGTGCCAGCACGGACCATCCAGGTGGAGCGAGGTGTTTGCCTGAGCGAGGCCTTGGGTCTTGAGACAGGAAGCAGCTGGAAGGCCTGCAGGGACCCGGGGCAGCCATGAACCCATGGGGTCAGCGCCTCCACCTTCCTGGCTGTCCTCTCACGCCCACGGGAATGTGTGCGGGTGCCCTATGCTCTTCAGGTCAACCAGCAGGAGTTGCCCTTGACTCAGGGCAGGAGCTGAGCCTGCAGGAGGGGTAGTGGCCGGGTAGGGAAACCCTGGTTCTCCAGGAGGAAGTCACGGTCACCCTTAAGCCGGAGGAGCCGCTGCAGGGAGGTGGGGAGCGGTGGGCCCAGGGCCGAGGCGGCCACAGGACCTGCCTGCACCCCCCTATCTGCTTACCTACGTCATCCTCCTTCCCTTGTTCCCTCAACTCCTCATCTCCCTGGGCAGTTGGGGGGTCCCGGGGCCTTGTCTGTGCCCAGACTCTAGACTCTACGTCCCGCTTCCCCGAGCTCCCAGGACGGCCTCCGCTATCGTCATCCGTCTGCCGTCAGCCTCCCACGGGGTGTGCTGGGGTCTCTCACCCCCCTCGCACCCATGTGGCCACATAGTCCTTCACTCCATCGCCCTCCACCTCCTCCTTCAACCCCCCGGGCGGTCTTCTCGTTCCTGCCTCTGCATCCCACCTGCTCGGGGCAGGAGCCTTTCCATCCTTGGGGGATGCGAAGCAGCCGCCCGGACTCTTTTCCCAGCGACGCCGGAAGCGGTGGGAGCCAGCCTTCTGGGCCCTCGGGCTCAGATTCGCAAGAAGACGGAAGGTGTTCACGTGAAAGCCCACCCGCCGGAAACACAGGCTTCATGCAACAGTTCCGAAGCCTTCTAGTTCCGCTGGCCTGCATCTCGGTCGTTCTGTGCAACGGATGCTCGTTCAGTGCCTCCTCTATGCCAGCTTCTGGAGCTAAAAGGGGAACCGAACAAGAACCAAGTCGCACCTGCCTTCCTCCCTTTAGCAGCGGCAGGTCGTATCGTTATTGGGTACGTGCTGTAACGAGGAGGTCGCCTAGGCCTGCAGGGGGCAACAGAGACCAAAATATGTATGGAAACGTCACTGCGAGAGCACCTGGGAGGAACACAGCTGGAAGGCTGAAATTCAGAAAGGGCCTGGATGAAGAATGTTGTACAGTCAGCAGAACCTGGTTTGGCTCAGTGGATAGAGCGTCGGCCTGCGGACTGAAAGGTCCCAGGTTTGATCCCAGTTGAGGGCATGTACTTTGGTTGTGGGCACATCTCCAGTAAGGGGTGTGCAAGAGGCACATGATTGTAGTTTCTGTTTCATGTATGTTTATAACTCTCTCTCCCTCTCCCTTCCTCTCTGTAAAAAATCAATAAAAAATACTTTTTAAAAAGAATGTTGTAAAGGTCATTTCCAAAGGGAAAGGTCCTCCGGTGTCTCAAATTCAACGGGGTTCATGAAGCGAATGGAGCTTGGGCTCCCGATGACCCTTCACTGGCACAGATCCATATATATATATATATATATATATATATATATATATATATATATATATATATATATATAATTGATTTTTTAAAATCTTTATTGTTCATATTATTACCAATGTTTCTCTTCCCCCTCTCCATTGCTCCCCTCCACCAGGTTCCCACCCCACCCTCTGCCCTTTCTCCACCCATCATTGTCCTCATCCATAGGTACACAGTTTATGTTCAGTCTCTTCTCACATCCCCATCTCCCCTTTTCCCCGAGAATCATCAGTTCACTCCCCTTCCATACCTCTGATTCTATTATATTCACCATTTAATATTGTTCATCAGATTAAAAAAATTTTTTTTTAGATTCACTTGTTGATAGTTACATATTTGTTGTTCATAATTTTTATCTTTATTTACTTTCTCTTCTGAAAGAACCCCCTTCAGCAATTCATATAATTCTGGTTTGCTGGTGATGAACTCCTTTAACTTTTATTTTTTTTTATTTTTTTTTTATTGGTGAAGCTCTTTATCTGGCCTTTGATTCTGAGTGATAGCTTTGCTGGGTAGATTATTTTTGGCTGTAGGTTCTTACTATTCATCGCCTTGAATATTTCTTGCCATTCCCGCCTGGCCTGCATGGTTTCTGTTGAGAAATCAGCTAACAATCTTATAGGTGCTCCTTTATAGTTAACTACCTGCTTTGCTCTTGCTGCTTTTAATATTCTCTCTGTGTCTTTTGCTCTTGGAATTTTAATTATGATTTGTCTTGGTGTGGTCCTCTTTGGATTCCTTTTGTTTGGAGTTCTGTGCGCTTTCTGGACTTGTAAGTCTAATTCTTTCACCAGGTGGGGGAAGTTTTCTGTCACTATTTCTTTCAGTATGTTTTCGGTTTCTTGCTCTCTCTCATCTTCTGGAACCCACATAATTCTGATGTTGGTTGGACTGAAGTTGTCCCAGAGGTTTCTTACATCATCTTCAACTTTTTGGATTCTCTTGCCTTCTTGCTTCTGCAGAGGAGCGTCTTCTGGCTCTTTCTGTTCCAAATCTTTGACTTGATTCTTGCGATCTTCCATTCTGTTTTTAGGACTCTATAATATTTTTTATTCCAGACAATGTATTCTTTATTTTTTGTTGATCCCTTATTATTTCTAGTTGATCCCTTTTCATATCCTTATAGGTTTCGTTCATTTTATAGGCCTTTTCTAGGTGATTCTTGAAGAACCTTATAAGTGTGGTTTTGAACTCTATATCCAGTTGCTTCTTGTCCTCCATTTCTTTCGTTTGTGGTGTATTTAGTTGTCTAGGCATTTTTGCAGCTTCCCTGATGGGGCGAAGTTTCAGGGTGGAGCCTACAGCCTTGGCTTCCGTCAGCTACACCCTATGCAGCTCCTGAGCCTCAGTATTCCTCAGGGTTCTTCAGTACTCGCTGCAAGCACCTCTGAGAGTGAGGTGCCCTCGAGTTTCGCCTGCTACCAAAAAGTCTAGTCTCTCCCCCAATGGGCCTGGAACTGGGGTTCAATTTAGTTGGAAGTGGGATTGGAGGTGGCTTTCAGAGCAGTATGGAACCCTGTCTCCTTCCCGCCAGGGCAATCCCATGGCACAGCCAACCGTCCCTTCTCTGCGCGCATTGTGCACACTTCTGGGGTCTCTGTCTTTCGCCGCTCCCCTGGGGTTCCTCCTTACAGCCCAGCTCCCTCTGGATGAGCCTGGGTCCCCGGGGTCTGGCCTAGAACTGGGATTCAGAGCAGTCAGAACTGGGGCTCAGCACAGCCTGGAGCTGTTATCTCCTTCCCGCTAGGGAACGCCAGCCAGGCACTCAGCCTCCCCCTCCTCTCCGGCTCCGTCCTCTCCCCGCGAGTGGAGTGTCTCTGTACCTTAGGCTTTTACAGCTCCACCGCTCTTCCTTCAGGTTTTCTCCTTGCTTCTCGTTGTAGAATTTCCAGTCAGTCGACTTTCCTGTAGTTCTGGGTAATGTCCATTTTATATTTTAATTGTATCTTATTGAAACTGTTGTGTGCGGCTGTGGTTAGGTGTTTACCTGTGCAGCCATCTTGGATTAATCTATGTTATTGATTTTTTTACAGAGAGGAAGGGAGAGGGATAGAAAGCCAGAATCATTGATGAGAGAGAAACATCGACCAGCTGCCTCCAGCACACCTCCTATTGGGGATGTGCCCCCAACAAAGATATGTACCCTTGACCAGAATCGAACCTGGGATTCTTCAGTCTGTAGGCCAACTGAACCAAATAGCTAGCCACTGAACCAAACCGGCTAGGGCTAAAATACTTTGTAAGAAGTCCCCTTCCCAAGGAGGCCCCTGCTGACCACCCACATTGCAATGCCCTCCTCTCCCAGCCACTTTGCTCAATGGAGAGAGCAGCCCTGGGATTGAAGGTCACAGGTGGTATTCCGGTCAGGGGCATGTACCTCTGTGCTAGCTCTATGCATCCCCGTGCTGGAGGCGACACATAGATGCCTCTCTCTTACCTAGATGTGACTTTCCCTCTGTCTCTCCCCTCCCCTTCTCACTCCTTAAATGTCAATGGAACAATATCCTCGGATGGGGACAAGAAACAAAACAGCCATCTTCCCTCACCCACAGCGGACCCCTCCCCACACCACTCCCCACACTCCAGCCCGGACGCCTCACTGGCTCCAGGAAAAGATGCAGCTGGTCTCTGTGCAATAGAGCATGCGCTCTGGGAGGCAGCAGCGGGGCCTGGGCTCAGCGCCCTGAGGTGGAGCCGCCTCACCTCCCCGGCCTCACAGACCTTGTGGGCTTCAGTGGAAGGCGAGACTCTCCACCAGCAAGTGGGCTGTGACACGGGTGACAGTGCGCATGTCCACAACGAAGCATGTGGTAACGCTGGTGGACACAGTGTTGTTTAGAAATGAAGCCATTGGACACTCAGCAGAGGACGGTACAGCGTGAGCACAGCGTTCATGTACAGGAAGAAACCAAAGCAGCTGAGCCTGCTGTGTGTTGCTGTTAGAATAGCTGTGGGGACAGGACCTGGCCTGATGTCCCTCCAAGGTCATGTGCGCTCCAGAGGGAACAGCAGCTGTCACACTGTCCCCAAGTCCTGGCTGAGGGGGTCACCATCACACAACCCGTCCCTGTTCCAGACACAGTGTCCTCATGGCTGTGGCCCCAGCACAGCTGTCCTGGGGCAACTGGGGTCATGGTGCCCCCTGGGCCCTCACTACACCTGCACTTCCACAGCGCTGTTTCCCTAAATCTAAAACAGCCTCTCTCCCCACATCCGGGTGCCAGTGGGGCCAGCACTAGAAATTTCTCTGGGCCCAGGACTAGGGCTTCCTCCAGGACCTCCTGGCCCTGCCTCCTCCTTGATCTCTCACGGGGTGTTTTCTTCCCGCAGGTGGAAAAGGAGGGAGCTACGCTCAGGCTGCCAGTGAGTATAGAGGGGTGACCCCTGAGACCCTGTGACAGTGCAGGTGGGAGCCATGGGGGACCCCACCCCCATAGTTCCTTCTTAGTTTTCTGTCCTGGGCTCTGACCCCGTCCTGGTGTGTCCTCCCCCTCACCCCCCAGACAGTGACAGCGGCCAGGGCTCTGATGTGTCTCTCTCGGCTTCTAAAGGTGAGACCTGCCGTGGGGAGGGCTGCCAGGGGGACTGGGTGGTGGGGACTGGAAGGGGGCGGGGCTAGCTCTGGCGTTATAGCCACCCTAGGCACACAGGGGTGGGCGGGGCTTTCGGGTAGCCTGAGTAACCCCACCTGTCACCTCCCCCCCACACACACACACACACAGGAGACAGCCCAGAGGGACGCTGGGGGAATGCCAATCTCACAGGGTGTTTTCTTCCCGCAGGTGGAAAAAGAGGGAGCTATGCTCAGACTGCCAGTGAGTATGGGGGTGACCCCTGAGATCTGACCCTGTCCTGGTGTGTTCACCCCACCCCACCCCCCGACAGTGACAGCGGCCAGGGTCCTGATGTGTCTCTCTCGGCTTCTAAAGGTGAGACCTGCCATGGGGAGGGGTGGGCAGAGGGGGGACGGGGCGGTGGGGAGTCTGTGGGACACTGTGAGCATGAAGTGGGCTTTGAGAATGTCACCAGTCACATCCACTGCCCTGCACCTGCTCATGATTGTCCTCCACAGCGTGAGGCCGCTGCCTTGTGGAGACTGAGTGATGGGAGGTGTCCCTGCTCGCACGTTGACTCAGGACCCTCTGATGGGTGTTGGCCCCGCCCTGCCCCCACACTCTTCTGTCCGCATCCCCATCCCTGCCTTTCCTCCCTGGTGCTCTGAGCTGCCACTTCCTGCTCCAGGTTGCAATGAGATGCGGATGTGACTGTTCATTTCTTGCCAAGAAGTTTTGGGGGGTTAATTAAAGGGGAAGCTCCAAAATTCTGAGGGCAAATAAACTGAAGCTCCAAGAACTTTCCAGGTCCCGTGTGTTTGCTGTGCTGAGCCTGTCGCAGGCGGGACCGGAGGGGCGGTGAGGATGGAGTGTGGTCGGGCCTGGCCCTGATCAGTCGGCAGTGCCTCGTGGGCTTGGACGTGGTCACTCCCGCCCTGAGCAACGCGTCCCATCCTGCCGCGGCGCAGGGCCCTCCCCGCTTCAGGCAGCGGAGAAGGGGTGGAGCTGGCGCTGGGAGATCCCCGCCCTGGGAGGGAGAGCAGCGCTGGGAGGTGTGGGCTCCCCTGGGGAGGGCGCTCTTTCCCAGGTCCAGTGCTGGTGGGGGGCGGGGGGAGAGCGGAGGGAGGAGGGACTGGGGGGCCTGGCGCTGAGCCCTGGGATGGAGGCCCCGCATCACGTGCTATAAACTCATGAGCACAAGGGAAGCGCACCCCCAAGTCAGCCTCCTTTTATGGCGGACCCGCCTCAGAGTCAGGGGGACCGCGCCCCAGGAGCCAAGAACTGAGCGCCCCCCACTCCCGTCCCACGCAGGGTTGCCCAAGCGTCCCCTTCACACGAACATGCCCCGTGGGCCCCACGTATTCCCATCACGTCATCTCTGAGGCCGCGGGGTCCGGGCACGGAGACCGCACAGGCAGCCAGGACCTCGCAGGGCCTGGGGGGCCTTCATAGTTGGTCCCGAGGCTCCCCCTCTCCTTCCCCCTCCTTCCCACAGCCTCGGCCAGCCAACTCTTTATTATTGTTATTATTATTATTTCTATTGATTTCAGGAGGGAGACATAGAAACACCCATGATGGGACAGAGCCATGGCTAGGCTGCCTCCTGCAAACACCCTCCCCCCCCCCCCGCCCCTCCTCTGAGGACAGAGTCCACAACCCAGCAGGTGCCTCACCAGGAATGGAACCCTGACCTCCTGGTTGAAGGTCCATGCTCAGCCCCTGAGCCACACCCGGCCTGGCCCACGGTTCCCTAACAGAATGAGTGACACAGACACGGGGAGGGCTGAGGCTGGGGGAACTGGCACGCACCTTCTCAAACATGAACGTGAGCTTCTCCCTCAGGAAATGTCACCTGGCAGGGACCACGGACAGGCCTGCTGTCCTGATGCAATGCCAGCCCCGAGAGAAAACCAGAATGTTGGGACAGGGGTGTCCCACCACGTCAGCTAGACCCTCCCCAGCGCTGACACACTTCCCAGGGGCTCTGTGGGAAGAGACACAGAGGTGAGCGTGGAGGGCGGGAGACTAATGCATCTGCACGGGAAGGGCTCTAGGACTTAGAGACACAGGCATCACCTTCACTAACCTGCATGAGGACAGAGTACCCAGCAAGACAGCCCTGGGGACGGTGATGGAACAGAACAGGAATTATTCACTATTCCCCAACCAGCGGGGCTCAGTGCCTGAACATTGACCTATGAATGAGGAGGTCACAGGTCACCTTTTTGTCTGAGCATATGCCTGGGATGGAGGCTCCATCCCCAGTGTGGAGTTTGTAAGAGGCAGTTGATCAATGACTCTTTCTCATCATTGATGTATCTATCTCACTTCCTCTCTAAAATAAAAAATATATATATTGATATTTAAAAATTAAAACAAGAAGAATACAGTCAATATGGTTTCAGGTCTTACTTTGCAAAGCCGTTTTCAGAAATGACCACAGGTGTGGCTGTGGTGACGGTCACAGGGGAGCATGTACACTTATCTGGAAAGGTCAGTAAAACACGGCTCCTGCCCAATCCTGTGAGGCTGTCTTAATAAACTGCCGCCACATCAACAGATCAAATTCAGAAGCAAATGTGCAAACCCAGCGTCTCCCAGGAGGACTGGCAGGATGTCTCCTCCTTCACCTGGGAAATTGGTGATTTTTTTTTTTTAATATATTTTATACAGAGAGAAAGGGAGAGAGAGAGATAGAGAGTTAGAAACATCGATGAGAGAGAGTCATCGATCAGCTGCCTCTTGCACACCCCCTACTGGGGATATGCCCACAACCAAGGTACATGCCCTTGACCGGAATCGAACCCGGGACCCTTCAGTCCCCAAGCCAATGCTCTATCCATTGAGCCAAACCGGTCCCGGAGGAAATTGGTGATTTTCACAAAAACATGACTCTGTCCCCATCTCCCAGGCAGTGAGCATGCGGCGTGAGTTCATACTTGTTTCCCCGTGTGGTTCCGTGAGTGGTGACTGTGACAGAGGGAACCACAGGAACAAGGTTATGGGGGGGCCTCCCCCCTGTGTGAGGCTGCACAGAGATGGTGAACCCCAAACCTTGGAAAGTCCCTGAACAGCACAGCGCCCGGGCCAGGCCTCGGGGGACAGGGGGACGGGCGCCCCGCGCAGGAGGAGGGTCAGGACCGAGTCCAGGGCCCAGGCCTGCGCTCAGGTCTCAGCGGGGCACAGAGTCTGGGGGGGAAACTCCCTGGTGGGGACTCCCCAGCGCCCTGGTTTCACTTCTCCTTTCCCAACCTGTTTCCGCGTCTTCTTCCTGGATACTCGTGACGCGTCAAGAACTCTAACTCCGATTGGATGAGCGGCTTCCACAGCAGCCAATCAGCGTCCCGCGGCTCCCGGTTATAAGTCCTCCGCGGAAGCGCCCGGACTCAGACGCCCCCCAAACGGCCAGGATGCGGGTGCAGAGGCCCCCCACCCTCCTCCTGCTGCTCTCGGGGGCGCTGGTCCTGCCCCCCAGCGGGGCCGGTGAGTGCGGGGTCCGAGGGGCGGCTGTGCGGGAGGAGCGCGGGGACCCGGCGGGGCGCGGGCCGGAAGGCGCGTGTCCAGCCCGGCCCTGCCCCCGCCCGCCCCCAGGCCCCCACTCCCTGAGATATTTCGACACCATCGTGTCCCGGCCCGGCCGCGGGGAGCCCCGCTTCTTCTCCGTCGGCTACGTGGACGACACGCAGTTCGTGCGGTTTGACAGCGACGCGCCGAGTGGGAGGATGGAGCCGCGGGCGCCGTGGATGCAGCAGCCGTGGGTGGAGCATTGGTTCCCGGGGTATTGGGAGGAGGTGACGCAGATCAGCAAGGGGAACGCACAGGCTTTCCGAGTGGGCCTGCAGACCCTGCTCCGCTACTACAACCAGAGCGAGGACGGTGAGCCGCGCCGGGCCCCTCACGACCCCCCTCCCCGCGGACGGGCCGGGGTGGCCCCGAGGGTCCGGGTCCGAGCGTCACCCCGAGGCGGCGGGACCCGCCCGGCCCCCACCCCCGGGAGGAGCCCGCGGGGACTGTGACCCGATTTCACTTTCAGTTTTAGATTCAGGCCCCGCGGGGCGGGCGGCGGGCTGACCTCGGGGCGGGCTGACCTCGGGGCGGGGTCAGGGTCTCACACCATCCAGTGGATGTATGGCTGCGAGGTGGGACCGGACGGGCGCCTCCTCCGCGGGTACGAGCAACACGCCTACGATGGCACCGACTACATCGCCCTGAACGAGGACCTGACCTCCTGGACCGCGGCCGACATGGCGGCTCAGATCACAAAGCGCAAGTGGGAGGCGGCGGGTGTGGCAGAGCTAAAGAGGAGCTACCTGGAGGGCCGGTGTGTGGACTCACTGCGCATGTACCTGGACAAGGGGAAGGAGACCCTGCTGCGCGCAGGTACCAGGGGCCCTGGGGCCGCCCCCCTCCCCGGGGCTGGGGCTCCTACAAGGAGACAGGACAGGGGGTCAGTGTCAGACCCCCCTCCTCGGGGTCAGGGAGGGGGAGGGCCCTGAATGTCCAGGTCACGTTCCAGAGGGACTCGCCCTCCTCTCAGGGACAGGTAGGGGTGCAGGCTCTCGGGGTGCAGAGAAACCCCCCCCCTACAATAGCCCATAGGGGTTTCCAGGGATCCTGCAGGGGATCGGAGACCCACCCGGCCCTTCTCTCTCTGGCCTTGTGCTCTGCCCCACACCCCTTGTGTCTGAAGCCTGACCCCAGCTTTTCTGAGTCACGTGACCTCCACCCAGGTCAGGACCATTTCTGCCCACAGAGACCTCCTACCCTGGGCTGTGTCTCTCAGATTCTAGAACTTTCTAAAGACTAGGAGGTCCTTCCAGTGTCTCTGTCCAGGCTGGTGTGTTGCTGTGTGGTCCCTCCCAATCCAGGTGCCTGTCCACTCTCAGGATGGTCACATGGGCGCTGCTGGAGTGTCCCATGGAGGATGCAAAGCTGCTGCATTTTCTCCCCTCCCCTCAGACCCTCCAAAGGCACACGTGACCCACCACCCTGTCTCTGCCCGGGAGGTCACCCTGAGGTGCTGGGCGCTGGGCTTCTACCCTGCGGACATCAGCCTGACCTGGCAGCGTGACGGGGAGGACCAGACCCAGGACATGGAGATGGTGGAGACCAGGCCTGCGGGGGACGGCACCTTCCAGAAGTGGGCGGCTGTGGGGGTGCCCCCTGGAGAGGAGCACAGATACACGTGCCATGTGCAGCACGAGGGGCTGACCGAGCCCCTGACCGTGAAATGGGGTGAGGAGGGCCGTGGGCACAGAGCCTCTTCTCAGGGCAGCGGGGCCCTGGGGGACCTCAGTGGAGTGAGGGCTGAGGCCTGGAGTCAGGGCCCTCACCCTCCCTTCCCTTCTCCTCCCAGAGTCGCCTTCTCACACCATCTTCATCATCCTGGGCATCGTTGGGGGCCTGGTCCTGCTGGGAGCTGTGGCTGGAGCTGTGATGTGGGGGAGGAGGCGCTCAGGTGGGCAGGGGTGGGGTCTGAGTGTCTGTCCCACTGGGGGTTCGGGGTTCAAGCCCAGGTAGAGGTGTGTCCCCCTCATTCCCGGGAGCACCATCCCCACATTGTGATGGCCAGTGTGGGGCTCTGTGCTCACACTGACTCTGTAGTGAGGCCCGTGGGAAATGAGGGGCCCACTTCTCACCTGATGATGCTGGTGGTGGGACCCGGTTCCCAGCAGCCCCAGGTCAGAGGGCTGGTCCCCGCTGAGCACAGACCTCCAGGAGGGTGGTGGGTCCAGTCCCCATACATGTCCTTCAATTATGTGTCCAGGTCCTGCCCTGGGTCTGTACATATGCTTCTGGAAACTTCTCTGGGCCCAGGACTAGGGCTTCCTCTAGGACCTTCTGGCCCTGCCTCCTCCCTGGTCTCTCACGTGGTGTTTTCTTCCCGCAGGTGGAAAAGGAGGGAGCTACGCTCAGGCTGCCAGTGAGTATGGGGGTGACCCCTGAGACCCTGTGACAGTGCAGAGGGAACCATGGGGGACCCCACCTCCATAGTTCCTCTTAGTCTCCTACCCTGGGGCTCTGACCCCTCCCCCGTTTTGTCCCCTCCAGACAGTGACAGCGGCCAGGGCTCTGATGTGTCTCTCTCGGCTTCTAAAGGTGAGACCTGCCGTGGGGAGGGGTGGGCGGGGGGTGGGGGTGCTGGGCGATGGTTAATCTGTGGGACACTGTGAGCATGAAGTGGGTTTGAGAATGTCACCAGCACAGCCACTGCCCTGAACCTGCTCATGATGATTGTCCTCCACAGCGTGAGGCCGCTGCCCTTTGGGGACTGAGTGATGGAAGGTGTGTTCCCGCTCCCACTTCCTGACTCAGGACCCTCTGATAGGGGGCTGGCCCCACCCTGCCCCCCACACTTTCCTGTCAGCAGACATGGCTGGGCCCTCCCTGTCCCCATCCCTACCTTTCCTCCCTGGTGCTCTGAGCTGCCACTTCCTGCTCCGGATTGAAATGAGACTGTGCATTGACCTGATTCTTTGATTCTTGCCAAGAATGCTTGGGGGTTAATTAAAGGGGAAGCTCCTACATTCTACATGGAAATAAATTGAAGCTTCAAGAACTTTCCAGGTCCGTGTGTTTGCTGTGCTGAGCCTGTCGCAGGCGGGATGGGATGGGTGATGAAGGCAGAGCGTGGACCGGGCCTGGGCCTGGTCAGTGCTCAGTGCATCGTGGGCTTTGACGTGGTCACCCCTCGGCCGGGTCACCTCTCTGCTCCTCTGACCTTGTCCCTCAGGGGAACCCTGTCCCACCAGGGCCTGTGGTCACAGGGACTCCCATCCCCCAGGCCTTGTCACGTGTCCTAAAGCAGCGCATCTCCAGGACCTTGGACAGCGAGCCTTCCTGGGGCAGGTCAGCCTGGGCTCAGGCCTGGGCCAGCCCTCCGCCGTCCTCCCCTGGGTGTTGGTAGTTGCTTTGCTTTGGTGGGTGTTATGCCTGTCCCTGTTCTTGGGTGTGAGTTCTGGCCTCACTCTCTGGGCAGCAGGAGGCATGTTGCCCCTCACTGTCTCACAGTCCCAGGGTCTCTGCTCACAGGAGCCCCTGGTGTGGAGCTGGGTGTTCAGGCTCCTCCTGCTCCTGCCTGTTTGTGGGCCTGGCTGTTCTTCCGTCTTTCGCTGAGCTCTCCGAGGGTTTAGCAGGAGCGGGATTCCGCCTCTGAGGGCAGTTCCTGCTGGGACTGAGCCCTGCCTGCCTCCCTCTCTTCCAGTGCTGACCCCACTGGGACCCGAATGTGGGGAGAGGCTGCTGTAGGTTTAGGGGAGCAGCGCTGTGGAAGTGCGGGTGCAGTGAGGCCCAGAGGGAACCCTGAGCCCCAGCTGCCCCAGGACAGCTGTGCTGGGGCCACAGCCATGAGGACACTGTGTCTGGAACAGGGACGGGTTGTGTGATGGTGACCCCCTCAGCCAGGACTTGGGGACAGTGTGACAGCTGCTGTTCCCTCTGGAGCGCACATGACCTTGGAGGGACACCAGGCCGGGTCCTGACCTCACAGCGATTCTGACAGCGATACTCTCCGGGCTTAGCTTCTTTGGTTTCTTCCTGTACATGAACGTTATGCTTATGCTGTACCGTCCTCTGCTGAGTGTCCAATGGCTTCATTTCTAAACAACACTGTGTCCACCAGCGTTACCATGTGCTTCATTGTGGACATGCACACTGTCACCCGTGTCACAGCCCACTTGCTGGTGGAGAGTCTCGCCTTCCACTGAAGCCCACAAGGTCTGTGAGGCCCAGGAGGTGAGGCGGCTCCACCTCAGGGCGCTGAGCCCAGGCCCCGCTGTGGCCTCCCAGAGCGCATGCTCTATTGCACAGAGACCAGCTGCATCTTCCCTGGAGCCAGTGAGGCATGGGGGCTGGAGTGTGGGGAGTGCTGTGGAGAGGGGTCTGCTGTGGGGTGTGGGAAGGGAAGATTTTTTTTTTTTGTTTGTTGTCCTCACCCGAGAATATTGTTCCATTGACGTTTAAGAGGAGAGGAGGGGGAGACACACCTCCATGTAAGAGAAAAGCATCTATGTGTCGCTTTCATCAAAGGGATACCTGGAGCCTTCACCGCAGTCCATGCCCTTAACTGGAATACCACCTGTGACCTTCAATCCTAGGGCTGCTCTCTCCATTGAGCAAAGTGGCTGGGAGAGGAGGGCATTGCAATAATGGGTGGTCAGCAGGGGCCTCATTGGGAAGGGGACTTCTTTTATTTTATTTTATTTTAATAAATATTTATTGTTCATATCATTACAAATGTTTCTCATTTTTTCCCTCCTCCATGGCTCCCCTCCATCAGGTTCCCACTTCACTCACTGCCCTTTCCCAACCCCCATTGTCCTCATCCATAGGTGCACAGTTTATGTTCAGTCTCTTCCCGCACCCCCCCACTCCCCTGTCCACGAGAATCGTCAGTTCACTCCCCTTCCATACCTCTGATTCTATTATATTCACCAGTTAATTTTGATCATCAAATTTTTTAATTCCCTTGGTTTTTATTTATTTATTTTTTAAAATATATGTTATTGATTTTGTACAGAGAGGAAAGGAGAGAGATAGAGAGTTGGAAACATCGATGAGAGAGTCATTGATCAGCTGCCTCTTGCACACCCCCTACTGGGGATGTGCCCTCAACCAAGGTACATGCCCTTGACCGGAATCGAACCCGGGACCCTTCAGTCCCCAAGCCGACGCTCTATCCATTGAGCCAAACCGGTTTCTGCCCCTTGGTTTTTAGATTCACTTGATAGTTACATATTTGTTGTTCATAATTTTTATCTTTATTTTCTTTCTCTTCCTAAAGAACCCCCTTCAGAAATTTATATAATTCTGGTTTGGCGGTGATGAACTCCTTTAGCTTTTTTTTATTTTTTATTTTTTATTTCTGAAGCTCTCTATCTGGCCTTCGATTCTGAGTGATAGCTATGTTGGGTAGAGTATTTTTGGCTGTAGGTTCTTGCTATTCATTACCTTGAATATTTTTTGCCATTCCTGTCTGGCCTGCATGGTTTCTGTTGAGAAATTAGCTGACAATCGTATGGGTGCTCCTTTATAGGTCACTACCTGCTTTGCTCTTGCTGCTTTTTAAAAAATTTTTTAATTTTTATTTTTTTTAATATATTTTATTGATTTTGTACAGAGAGGAAGGGAGAGAGATACAGAGTTAGAAACATCGATGAGAGAGAGTCATCGATCAGCTGCCTCTTGCACACCCCCTACTGGGGATATGCCCACAACCAAGGTACATGCCCTTGACCAGAATCGAACCCGGGACCCTTCAGTCCCCAAGCCGATGCTCTATCCATTGAGCCAAACCGGTCCCAGCTCTTGCTGCTTTTAATATTCTCTCTGTGTCTTTTGCTCTTGGAATTTTAATTATGATGTGTCTTGGTGTGGTCCTCTTTGGATTCCTTTTGCTTGGGGTTCTGTGCGCTTCCTGGACTTGTAAGTCTAATTCTTTCACCAGGTGGGGGAAGTTTTCTGTCACTATTTCTTCCAGTATGTTTTCAATATCTTGCTCTCTCTCTTCTACTGGGACCCCCATAATCCTGATGTTGGTTCGCTTGAAGTTGTCCCAGAGATTTTTTACATTATCTTCAACTTTCTGGATTCTCTTGCCTTCTTGCTTCTGCGGAGGAGTGTCTTCTGGCTCTTTGTGTTCCAAATCTTTGACTTGATTCTTGCGATCTTCCATTCTGTGTTTAGGACTCTGTGTAATATTTTTTATTTCAGACAATGTATTTTTTTTTATTTCTAATTGATTCCTTATTATTTCTAGTTGATCCCTTTTCATATCCTCATAGGTCTCATTTATTTTGTTGGCCTTTTCTAGGAAAATCTTGAAAAACCTTATAAGCATGGTTTTGAACTCTATATCCAGTCGCTTTTTGTCCTCCATTTCTTTCGTTTGTGTTCTGTTTCCTTGTCTCGGCATTTTCGCTACTTCCCTGAGCTGGTAGGGTGGCTTTGTGTACTAAGGTGTCCTTTATGGTTCAGTGGGTCAGTCTCCCAGTTACCTAAGGTGGACACTCTTGGTGTCCCCTTTTGTGAATTGTGTGTACAGCGTTGTTGTAGTTAAGTCTTGATTGTTGTTGGCATCACTGGGAGGAACTGATCTACGGGCCAGTTGGCTGTGAGGATCAGCTGTGTCTATGCCAGGAGACAGCTTTATTCGACTATACTTGGAAAATTGTGAAAGCCTCTGTGCTCAGCTTGGATGGGGCTGAGTTTCAGGGTGGAGTCTACAGCCTTGGCTTACTGTCTTCTTTTATTTTTAAAAATATATTTTATTGATTTTTTACAGAGAGGAAGGTAGAGGGATAGAGACCTAGTAACATAGATGAGAGAAACATTGACCAGCTGCCTCCTGCACACCCCCATCTGGGATGTGCTCCCAACCAGGATACATGCCCTTGACTGGAATCGAACCTGGAACCTTTCAGTCTGCAGGTCGACGCTCTATCCACTGAGCCAAACCAGTTTTGGCGGGAAGAGGACTTCTAATACAGAATATTTTAGCCCTAGCCAGTTTGGTTCAGTCGGCCTGCAGACCAAAGGGTCCCAGGTTCGATTCCGGTCAAGGCCATGTACTTTAGTTGCAGGCACATCCCCAATAGGAGGTGTGCAGGAGACAGCTGGTTGATGTTTCTCTCTCATTGATGTTTCTAACTCTTTATCCCTCTCTGTTCCTCTCTGTAAAAAGAAAAAAAAATCAATAAAATTTTGTTTTAAAAAATCTAACTTGAGACTGGAGAACTAACAATGCCACGTGTGGGTGGATGTTTGCTGTTGTGATTACGATGGAATCTAAAACCCATGGGCCCCTTGTAGCATCTCTTCTCCATCAGAAGTGTCCGAGGATGGCGGTCCCCTCAAACCCACACTCCCGTGTTCGAAGACATCCATGAAGACGGTGAAGGCATGCTTTTCAAAGTGTGTATCCCTTTAATGTGTCTGTTCTTCTAAGCATTACCAGGTGGGGTGGGAATTTCAGGGATGGGGGATTGAGGTCTCGGGCACAGATGGCAGGACCCCGCTGACTCACATACCACAGTGACTTGGCTAGAAGGCTGTGGAGGAGCAGCTAGGAGCTCCCAGCACCCACCGCCACGGTGGCCAGGTTGCAGGACTGGATGTGCCTGGAGGAGATGACGCCCGGGTGCTCCCTGTCAGACGAACACAGCTTTCAGCATCAGCTCATCTCTGTCCCAAGGTTTAGTGCAAATGGTCAGTTGGAGGTTCTTCTCTTCCACAGCCCTCAGCAGGTTCTGCGT